ATTTTATTTATTTATTTGACAGACAGAGATCACAAGTAGGCAGAGAGGCAGGCAGAGAGAGAGGCGGAAGCAGGCTCCCTGCCGAGCAGAGAGCCCGATGCGGGGCTTGATCCCAGGTCCCTGGGATCATGACCTGAGCTGAAGGCAGAGGTTTTAACCCACTGAGCCACCCAGGCGCCCCTCTAGTCCCACTTATTGACAAGACTGTCTTTCCCACTGAATTTCAGTGGTGCCCTTGTTTTCCAATCAATTTCTACAAAAAATAATCTTCCTGGGATTTTGATTGGGATTGCAGTTAAGCATGTGTTCCATTTACTTACCCCCATAATCTCAGCAATATGAGACTTCCAATTCTATAACATGGTATATTACTTGATTGATATATATATCTTTAATTTCTCTTCTTGAATATATATATATATATATATATATTTTTTTTTTTTTTAATTTTATTTATTTATTTGACAGACAGAGATCACAAGTAGGCAGAGAGGCAGGCAGAGAGAGAGAGGAGGAAGCAGGCTCCCCGCTGAGCAGAGAGCACGATGCGGGGCTTGATCCCAGGACCCTGGGACCATGACCTGAGCCGAAGGCAGAGGCTTTAACCCACGGAGCCACCCAGGTGCCCCAAGAAAGATTTTTATTTTAAAAGGAAGATCACCTGTAATTCTAGTAATTTTGTAAATGCACACATGGTCCAAATGATTTGTAACTTGCTTCTTTCACTTAGTGGTTGATTACAAACACCTTTCTTTTGTAGTTATCAAATTTGCTTTTTCATTGTATGTACTGGCTTCACAGAATTCCACCTTATGGATGTCCCACAATTTATTTAATCAGTTTCTTATTATTGGACAGTTAGGTAGTTGGTAATATTACATTGTTAGGAAAACTCTGTGATGAATATTCTTAAGCTAAACCTACAACTCCTGCCCATGAAAGTTTCTATAAGTGAAACTCCTGGGGCAGAGTAGGTGAGGCCTTGATATGTATCACAGAAAGACTACACACTTCCCCCCCTTCCCCCAAACAAAAGTCAGTACTCGTTTCTACTCATATTACCAGCAGTGTATGACAAATGTCTGTTTCTCTGCATCATTGCCGATATTGTGTATTATGTTTAAAAACACTGCCAATTTGATGGATGAAATCTATGTCATTAACTTGCAGCTTTTTACTTACCACTGAGCTTGAACACTTTACCCATTTTCTATATATAAATATAAGTATATTTATCCTTTTGTTAAAAAGGATAATTACAAGATGCCCTCTATATTTGAAGGATATTAATCTACTGCCTATCATAGTTTGCATGCTGAAGATATTAATTTTTATTAGCTCAGTCTATCGATCTTTACTTCAATAATTTCTCCTGGCCTACATTCTTTTTTCTGAACAGCAGCCAAATGCACACACTGGTTGAGACATCTCCTTTCTATTCCTCTACTAAGTGTCCCTGGGGGCTGGAAATGTGGGGTCATGGTGACTCTTGGGTGGAAAAGGGACACTGATGGACCCCACGTTATCAAACTACCTACACATTGGAGGTTTTTTTTTTTTTTTTAAGATTTTATTTGTTTATTTGACAGAGAGAGATCACAAGTAGGCAGAGAGGCAGGCAGAGAGAGAGAGAGGGAAGCAGGCTCCCTGCTGAGCAGAGAGCCCGATGC